ATCTTCTTTGTAGGATGACCATTTCTCATTTATCACCATTGCTTGGAGGCCACGATGTATAAGCTTAAACCTTTTTAGCATAATAATTGCAGATGCAAAGCGTGTTTTTGCAACAGAAAGTAGCTTCAATGGCACAAATTCATTGAAAATTGCCAATTTCATAGAATGATTCATGATGAAATTTTTTATGAACATCACTTCGTCAATCACAATTGTAATCCAATGGTATTCATCATAAGCATAGGCAACATCTCCAATTTCTTTAGTAGCACAAATATTTTTAAGAGCAAGCTTAAGTGTGTGCACTACACAAGGTGTCCAAAATATCCTCGGATAATTACCTTGTATGATTGATCCAGCTGCACTACAAACAGGAGTATTGTCAGTAATTACTTGAATCACATTATGAGGGCTTACTTCATCAATCAGCTCACTAATTAATTTAGCAATATGATACTTGTCTTTGTACTCACCTTTACAATTAACAGCTCTTACAAACATAGCTCCACCATCAGATGCTGCCATGAGATTGATAAGAGGTCTCCTTTGTGCATTGGTCCATCCATCGACTACTACACTCAACCCTTTTTTATTCCATGATTGTTTTGTTGGTTCCAACAGCCTATCAATATTTGCTTTTTCTTTTTGAAGTAGAGTAGTCCTCAATAAGTTGTAACGAGGAGGGACATACCCTATAATTTGATTCTCAGCAGCAAATTTAAAAGCACCCACAAAATATGGATTCCTAGCCAAATGAAAGGCTAACCCAGCTGAATAGAACATGCGAGCAATTAAAGAATGCGAATGTTCTCTAACACCTTGATTGAATGCTTTATCTAAGGCACTCCTCCCATGTGTCTTTCTTTTTTTTTGGTTCATAACTATCCAATCTAAATGTTCCAACATCCCCTACCACCCTTACGCTAGAACTAATTCGGAAAGAGGGAGGTGGTAAAGGAACACCTGTAGGCTTTGCCATCTTTTTCCTATGCTCTGCTTCTTTATCTGCCTTTTGCGTTTCAGCAAAAGATCAGGCCTATTCTTTACAAATGCACACACTCTAATTTCATGCCCAGAAACTAGCAACAAATGTGCTTTTGACTCTAGAGTATGAACCTTGAAACTCAGTATTACAATAATTTCACCAAAATTTGGTATTACCACTTCTGTCTTCATCCCTTTTAGCTATTTTCGTAACGTAACCCCAAAGAGGAGCATTTTCATCCCCAGTTTGATTAGTATCAATAGAAGAGGCACTTGCAGTTGAACGTATACTTCCTGATGAACTCATATTCCTATAATATAATTATATAACCATTAGAAAAATAATTTGTGAATTCATTCACTTCATTCGAGCATATAACTTTTCAAATATTTAAATAACAATTTTTTTTTTTTATTGTGTCTACTACAGTCTGCAACAGTAAAAAGAGGACAAAGTTAAATAACAGAGGGCTATTTACCTTTTTTTTTTAGAAGATGATTACAGAGAAGGTTCTAAACTTGCAAGTTGCATGAAATTCTAGTGGCTGTGGGGAAAAAAAATATAAAAAATAAAATATATAATATATATATGATATATATCAGAAAACAATGGAGTTCAAGAAAATGGAAGAAGAAGAAGGCTCAAAGAAAGAGAAAATCAAAGAGGAGAATCAAATCAAAAAAAATGAAGGGGAAAAAAAAAGAACAGATCAATTTGTTTGTTGTAAAGAAGGAAAAAAAAATATGGAAAAAAATGAAAGAAAGAGGAAGAAGAATTGAAGAAAAACAAAGGGAAAAAAAAGTTATCTTTGTTCTTTGTTTGCTGCTGAAAGAGTACAAAATCTGGAGAAAAAAAGATGAAAACAGAGGAAGAATAATTGAACAAAATCTGCGAAAAAACAGAACAAACTGGAATCGAAGAAGAATCAAAGAAACAGAACAAACAGAAAAAATATGAAAGAAAGACGAAGAAGAATAGAAGAAGAAGAGGGGGGAAGAATCAAAGATGAACTTACCGGAATGTGGTCTTTGAAGGAGAGAATCAATTAGCAACGATTAAACCTCTTCAATCGCACCTTCGAAGGAGTTCTTCAACTCTCTTGGGAGTATTTCTAAAGGAGATAATGGAATAGATGTAGAACCCTAATTTTAATTGGTTTCATGTTTTATTTATTACAAAAGAATCCCAGATTTATATAATTTTTTAAAATAGACCCAAAAAAATTGCTCCGGTACCCTTTAATTTGTAGAAAATCTTGTTTTTTACCCCGAAGTATCCAAAAACGTACCCATTACATACTGATTGCGTACCCATCCCGTACCCATTAGTATACTAATCGTATAAAACGTATCCGGTGCGTTTTTGGCGTACTTGCACTTGGTAAGTACCTGGTACTTGTATGACAACATTTTTGGAGTACCCGTGCTTAATAGATGGGGACTAAACTTGGTGTAGTTTTTTTTAAATAGACTGTGTTATTAATTTAAGTAGAGAGCCAACTAGGCTGGAACTTAGATTTTTAAAAGTGAAGACAATTGTATAATTAAGCAGAAGTGTTTCAACTTAACAATATAAAGTTTAATTATCTTCAGAGTTACTTTTATTTCTCTCCTCCAAATTCACCAAATACTAAAGGCCCCTATTCCATATAGATTCCCTTCTCAATTTTGGCAATAAAATGAACTTGATCAAGCCAATTACCATGGTTATCAGAATCCCGATCCGGATCTTACGATCCTACGATCTTACGATCTATCTGAGTACAATTGATCCGGATCGTGTAAAAAAATCCTTATAGGTAGGATCTTTCGATCCTGGTAGTGGGATCTTATAGGATCGTGGAATCCCGATCCGAATCCGATCCTATCTGATCCAATTTACAAGCCTTGTTTTGTATTGTATGACATATTTTATTGCAAATTTTATGTTTGTTGTCTAAATACCAATTTATGTGGTCAAAATAAATAATAAAAATTAAGTAGTATTGAATCAAATAGACTACGAAAAACGAACTAGGAAACAAACATTCAAATATTGCAGTAATTTAAGAAAATTAAATAGTTGAAAAAACAAACTTAGCTTTAGTGGAGTCTAAGAAGGGTAAGATGATTGCAACTTTATCCCAATTTTTGGAGAGATTATTTTTGTGACTCGAATCCGCTCCACCAAGGATGCTAACGACAAACCTTATCATTCAATTAAGCTACTCTTTTGAGTTCTTAATCTATTTTCATATCCAACTTTGTTAAATATTTTTTCTTTACTTTTTATGTATTATTGTAGATTGTAATGTATTTTGTTATAGAATTCTTCTTCTTCTTCTTCTTCACCTTCTTTTTTGATGAAATACAAAACTTTTACCATCGAGTTTTCTATAGTATAATATTATATGTACATTTTACATAGAGTATTGCATTTTTCACAATATCTTCACTTCTTTTTAATAGAATATAAGCTCATTTTGTGTATACTTTGTAAGAAATATTTATTTAAATTAAATTATTATGTAATTTGTCTTTTTCGGTAGGATCTTACGATCATCGATCCGATTCTACGATCCGATCCTATAAACACCTCCAACGATCCAGCGTGGGATCCCGATTTTAACAACCTTGGCAATTACTAATTGTTGTGTAACCCGTCAAAGTCCAAAGATGAAGAAAATGGATGCTACACCCCCCAACCCACATAACAATGGAGAAATAAATGAGCTACTGCATACTGCTTGTCATTTACTTGATATTGCACATGTTTTATGATGGAAACATGATGTTGTTTTATGCATCATCATTATTTCTTATTTTGATGATGAGGAACCCCTTGAAGACAAGGCCGTATTGGACTCACCCTTGCAGGGTAAACTCCAACGACCTGCAACCTATGAAGCATGGATACTTCTAGAAGGGAGTGGCATCTGTATCAGATATCGATACTCTTTGGATACTCACGGATATGTATAAGATATTTTCTAAACATATTTGATACTTGAAATTAAATTTATGTAATTTTGAGGAGTGGAGGTATCTGTAATTTAGCTAAATCTCGAGAGAGGTATATGTAATTTGCCCTAATTTAAAGGTCTTAGATTTTGTATTCATATAATGAGTAAGATTATAATTTTAAAATAGTAATATCATAATATATATTAGTATACTAAGTGATATACTAACCGATTAAAGAATGATCAGAGATGGTGGATAATAATTAGTTTGTTTGGTATGGTTTTTCAATATTCACTTTTCAGAAAATTAAATTGTTTTATTTTTCGTATCTTTTTATTCTTATTGAATTTTTTAAAAATATTTTAAACAATTTTATAAATTTTTAGATACACCTAACATAGATATACTTAAAAAGTATAATATTTGTAAAAAAAAATTTAAAAAATTCACTAAACACCAAAAAATGCAAAAAGAATATAAAAATTCAATACATTTTCGTATTCTTGTGTATTTATTATTTTTTAATATATATTTTTAAATATTTTACTTTTTAAATACATCTAAGTAAGTTACATTTAAAAAAGTAAAAAAATTATTTAAAATTTTAAAAATATTCACTAAAAATAAAAAACTTAATTTTCAAATAATTGAATTCAAAAAATTGAAACCAAACACAATATGGTGATTGGAAATCGTGGTAGAGGAAATATGGGGTGAAAATTTATTTTAAAAATAAAAAATAATACATTATTTTTTCAAAAGTTTTAAAAATATTTGAATAAGTGCAAAAATAATATACTAAATAATTTTTTGTTACCAGTTTTGTTTTTAAATACAAAACTAAAATGTTAACAAACATCCTTAAAAGTTATATATTTGAGAAAACAAAAATAGAAAAACTTATTTGGGAAAACAAGTAGCAAAAAAAATAAAATAAAAGTGTTTTGAGAATTTCTTTTATTTTTTTATTTTTACCTTGGAAAAAGTATATTCTTAATTTGGACATAGTTGTGAAGGGAAGACACTAGTTTAGTGTCAACACAAAAGTAAGGTTATGTAAAAATAATAAAAAAATCGTAAAAAACACATAAGTATCTCATGTCAGTTTTTCTTTATGAAAATACATAAGCTTGTAACATTTTTTCGTTTCTTTTTATTTTTATTTTTTATGAGCTGTAATGTAACAACTTTCTGTTTAGAATTTTTGTTTTTTTGGGTTGGGGTGGTGGCGACAGTGGTCATAGTAATAGTGGTGTGGTGATGGAATTGATAATGGCGGTATAGTGTGGTAATTTATGAAGTACGGATATTCTAGCAATGGTATTGTACGAGTACCGGATATTTACTGGATGTGGGTACACATACCAAATACGGAGCCGGGGTACAGTAAATACATTTAGGTACGTTGTGGGTACAGTACCGGTATGGCAATGTGATTTTTTATTATTATTTTTCTTTCAATTTTGAAAATCTCAAGTAATTTATTTAACACATTTTACCCATGAGTCATGGTTTTGCTCTCTTTTGCATCATGTTTTAGATAATCAAAAAAGAAAGAGAAAAATAAAAAATTATATAACTTTTTAGACAAGTTATTCTCTTTTTAGTTTTAATATTGAAACTTTGATTTGTATATTGGATGTTTAGCTATAAATTTAAAAAAAAAAATTAAAAAAAAAATTAATGTACCCCAGCCGTACTCGAACCCGAACCATACTTTTTTAAGAATTTGTTGTATCGGCATACCCGTATTGTGCCCATGTCCGTATCCGCACGTGTGCTTCATAGCTCAAAAAAGTTGGTTGGTCCTCATAGGATGCACTACAGGCTACAGCTATACATGATTAAGAAAGAGATCAGATTATTTGATGTTTAGATTAGAAAAGCTTAGCAAAATAGAAACATTAAATTCAATTCGGGAGTTTGAATCCTTGTTCTAAAGTTATTTATTGAGATTCCTAATATAGCAAGGTATCTAGGACTATGGTGATGAGAAGTAAATACATTCTTTAGAATACATTAGGTTAGACTCTAGAGTGCTGTTTTGAGCTTTCTTTGTCTCAATGACAAGAGACTTCAAATAGTGGTCTTTGAATACCACATCTGCTCAACCTTATATGATGAGCATTGCTTGTCCTTGGAATTGTTTGTATAAGGTTAATAATAAATTTCACATTTTTTTGTTGCTACTCCAGTAAATTGGGTCAGCTAGGAATTGGAAGACTTTAAAAGGAAATATTGTTCTTTTCTTTTCTTGGTTAGCAGGGACAATTTTAACCATCAAAGCAGAGCCTATGGCTCTGTTGGAAAGCCTTAAGGGATTTGACTATTTTGGAGTTTCATGGTTGTTTGATTGAAGGCGATATTGTGGGGTAGGTGGAAAAGTGAACTCTTGGTCTCTGCTCTTATGCATAATTTGTAGATAGATATCTTAAAAATGTTCACAAACCCTTACTGTGGTCATGTCATGACAATATATTCCTTAAGGGTAGAGGTTGATAGTTTTGACCAAGAGAGGAAGCTATTCTCAAGTTGTGTAATGGCTATTTCTACCCTCCATCAGGACTTTGGAGAGGGTGTGGGGGTGGATACTGCTTTTATTGTACTTATTGTTTCATATATCTCTCATATATTTTTTTAAGCCTGTTTTCTCCGAGTAAGCATTTGTCATCCTTCTTCCTTATGTACCCATACCCTCCAGGGGGTCAGAGAAAGAAAGCAGAGAGATTATGGGTTCGTTTGGTTTGTATTTCTAAAAAATTTTTGGAAAATTTTCTCTACAAATAAGTTTTTAAAAGTAATCAAACCAAACAAATTTTTCCAAAAAAATTTCTCAAAACTTGTAAACCAAACAAGTTTTCCAAACAAATCTCTCTCTCACACACATCAAATCAATCACTTTTTTCAAAACTCTCTCTCAAAATAATTTTCCAAAACATCTTTTGAAAAAAATCAAGCCAAATAACTTTTCGTACTTTTTATCTCTAAAACACATCTCTCAAACACAAACCAAACATACCCTATGTATCTGATTATTATTTATGTTATTATAAGCCGCTAAAAACTTAGAAGATTAATTTGACAGAAAAAGAACTGTTTTCTTCCTTGCTTTGGTTCCCTCTTTATGGTTAATGGCTCAATGCAAGAGTTGGTTTTTGGCAGCGTTTGATACTCTGCATTTAACTGTTAAAAAGTTTACCCTGGTGAAATTCCCTTGACTTTGGGAAAAGTTTTCTTATTTCTCATTATGCAGCTGGACAGGAAAGATTCAGAACACTAACTAGTTCATATTATAGAGGAGCTCAAGGAATAATAATGGGTATGTTGTCTCCATTTCTTCATCTTTTGTCATCTTTATTCCTTTTATTTATTTATTTATTTTATCAATTTAATTTTAATATGTGCCATCAGCTTTAATTGCTTCTGATGAAACCCCTGAAGTTGTTTGCTCATGGACATTCGCTTATTGTTATATAGTCGCAACCTTTTGTGTTCTTGAAGTTGATATAGCTATCATAAAGCTAGAATTTTGTGAGAACAACTTTTGGACATGGGATTGTTATGAGACCCATATGAACTAAATAGTGAGTTAGGTTGAGTATAAGATTTTGGACATGGGATGCATATTTAGTTTAGTTCATCAGAATGTGTAGGTTTGTGTGTGTGTCACTTTAGGTTTGATTTGCACATGCTATGTAAGCTATTCCAAATTTGATTAATATGCAATCTGAACTCTTTCTGATTGCCAACTTCTTCTCTATGATATTGGTTGGCCTTGCAATGTTCTATTTTGTAATGTTTCTTAAATTTATCCATCTGTTTATACATTTCTTCTTGGAGTTATATCCCTAGACATGCAACTGTTAAAAGAAGTTGAGACTAAACTTTTTTGTTGAGTTGAGTTCTATGATTTATTTTGCGAAATTTAATGCTTGCACATTTCAAAGTTTTCTATATTTGAGTTGACCCATGTTAAGAGAGATCAAGAAGTTGTCTATTTCTTCGGTACATTTGTAGGCCTCAGTCTCCTAGTGTTGAAATCCTACCCACATGGTTCTCTTGAACTTTTTTACAATGTCACCTCTTTGAGGATCTATAGTGTAGCTTTCAATTGGCATAAATCTCTCCACTGGTAGTTACAAGTTTCTTTGTTCCAAGTGACTTCCATTTGTCAGAATTCTCAGCATTGGTTAAAGTCTGTTGTTCTTTTGTATTTTTGTTTAACATAATCAAACTGTTAATTTACACATTTTTATTGGTATACCACTCCTGAAATATTTTTCCCTACTAAATAATGGTATAAGATTTATGTTACTTGATCTCTACAAGACTTGTTTTTAAAAAAGATAAAATAAAATAAAATCTTTTATGTGAAATGCTAGAGACTCACAATTTAAGTCCCTACAATTCACCAACAATGACATGGCCAAGGCCAAGGGAGTTGGGCTTTACATGGTTGAGTTTGTGACAAACCAAAAGTTGACACATAACCTACCATGTCATTGTGGGTCTCAACCTTTTTCCTTCTTTACCTAGAAGCTGTCTCATGATCCCAAAGACCATGCACTCTTCAAATATTCTGTTAACCAAATTGTGTTTGGGATTGGAACAGTTTATGATGTAACCCGACGAGATACATTTACGGATCTATCTGATGTGTGGGCTAAAGAAATTGATCTGTATTCAACAAATCAAGATTGCATCAAGATGCTTGTTGGCAACAAGGTTGATAAGGTACAATGTGCAAAAAAATGCATTGAGAATTCCCTTTTCTTACCTAAGTGCTATAAGAAGTCAATTCCAATAGTTTGGTGCTACAGTATCAATATAGTGCCTGAGAACCAGGTTCAAATTTTCTGTGTCCCACAAATTTATCTGATGTTGCATTACTGGATAGAATGATAGAGTTTGTTTGTGGCTTTAAAGTCTCTTAATTATTTCTTTTCCAGGAAAATGAAAGGGTTGTCACCGGGGGGGGGGGGGGGGGTGGGTGGGTGGGTAGGACATGCAAAATGCAAAGGCAAAGCTGCAAAAACACCTTTGTATTATATGTAATAAGAAAAGACAACAATGAACAACTTCTTGTGCATGTTGTTCTGTTCACTACCAGCATTACTTTACTTGTTCATCTTCATCATCATCTTCTTCTTCTTCTTTAAAAAGCTTACAAAGAAAAGAGCAATCATAAAGCACACCAGAGAAAAGCAGAACCTGCAAAAAATCCCTAGTGTTTCTTCTTCTTCAAAGAGAAAAATTCTATCTATACGGACATATTGATGAGTGTATAATCATTCATCTTTTCTCTGCTTCAATTTCTCCTTTAAATAAAAAAGCAGACCATTGACCTCTCTCAAAGTAATAAAGCCCCCAAAGCTGTTTTCAGTCCCACACCACATATATATAGACAAAGTTTATTGAACTTGTTTTCTTTCTTTTTTCTTTTTTGGGTGTCTACTGATCTCCTCACTTTTTTGTTGTTTAAAATTTTTCCCTCTCCTTTTGTATAATCATCATCACTGGAGCATAATGGAGCATCTCAATTCCAATAAATGAACCCACATCTTCTATCAATTGAAGTTATCAAAGTCTTGCCATAAATTGTAAAAATCCTCGAATTCATACAACATAGAAAAGCAAGAAATAAAGCTGGGAAATAAATGAGGATATGTGAATTGCATAATCAATTTATTTTGAGTAGAATCGGTTCTTTTATTAAATTTAAATAATTTTTAAAGAGACGATAAGAGATAAATTTATAACTTTTGCACACCTTATTCTTAATTAAATGTGCTTTGAGTGCTAAAATTGCTAAGTAGGTTCAAGATCACCATCATAATTAAGTTGGTACAATGGTCAAAAAGGTTCTTTTTGGTTCAAATAATTCTCATTGACCTACATGTTTTCAAGAAAAGCTGGAAGTCGAGTTCTTCCTATTTTTCCCTCCAAATTTATATTCAATTTTCACCTTTGGAATCTCATCAAAAGCAGCATCGGTTATTGTGTGTAGTAGGCTGTAAAGCATATATCACGGAGAATCGAATTTGTAGAGTCCACCTTTGTTTATTTATAGTTAACCGGTCAACTTTCCTTTATAGAACATTCCCATCAACAACAAGCAATAAAATAAAAATTAAAACAAAACAAAAAACAAAGTCACTCTGTAGTTTGCTCATAATCATCTCTTTCTTGGTACCTCTCCATATTGTTCAAATCAATGTAGAGTTTTGGCGATAGCAATTTGGATTTCTTAGTGTTAATGTAAAATGTAAATTGTAAAATGTAAACTACCACCCACCTACCACCTCCACTACCACCCACTCCACCTACCACCTACACCTACTACCATCTTCTCCTCTATATATAGGAATTGTAATATACAGATATATCAATCAATAATATATCAATCAATAATATACATCAATTATTTTACATGGTATCAGAGCTATAGGTTAAAGATCTTGGTGTTCTTCGCCTTCCGGCGGGCGGCAACCTTGCCTTGACCGCCCGCCGGACCTCAACTTAGTCCGCTAGAATTTTCTATACACTACCTCCTCACTTCCTCCCCTTCTTCGACGCCACCTTCTTCCCCGGCGACTTCACCGTCGCTGTCTTCGCAGCTTTCTTTGGCTTCGACACGGCCTTTGGCTTCGGCGCAACCTTCTTTGTCTTCACCGGCGTAACACCCTTCGCCTTCGCACCGCCTACAGCCTTCGCACCACCTACAACCTTCGCCTTCGCCTTCACAACAACCGTCTTCTTCACGGGAACTTTCACTGTCGCCGCCGCAGCAGGAGCCTTCTTGACAGCGGCTGATACAGGCTTCGCCGCCGAAGACAGCTTGAACGAGTTCTTAACCTTAACAAGCTTCTCAGATGCGACGAGCTTCTTCAACTGAACGAGCAAAAGCTTCTTGAAATTCGGCGGCAGATGAGCCTTTTACTTCTCTTCGATGAACTTCGCAATCGCGTACTGGCTCGAACCAGTCATCTCCTTCATCGCCACAATCACATCCGTAATCATCTCAACGTAAGGAGGATGTGCTCGAGGCACCTTCGGAGCAGACGTTTTCTTCCCTTTCGTCACTTTCGCAGAGTTCGCTTTCGCCGTCACAGAAGCCATGAATGCAAAGCAAACTTAGAGAGAGAAACTGAATTTAGAAAGCAAATATAAAATGTGTATAATGCCAACGGCGATGATTGGCATCACAAGCGCCATATTGTCGCACCCGCTTTCACGGGAGACAAACTCAAGGGGTATGGGGGACACATGGTGGACTACACTAAGTATATGCTCCACTCACTGCAAAATGCACTTGAGTTGGGTCAGACCGAGTATGCTCCATCCACGATATGTCTACCTTTCCAACCCATCCCTCCAACACCTTTTGCACATCCATCTCCCTTTTTTATTTTTTATTTTAACCCAAAACCTGCTCATCTGCAAACCCAACACCCTCTCTCTCCTCCGTTTGATTTCAATTATTTGAAAGAGATGAAAAGTGTTTGAAAAAAAAAAAAAAAAACAAAACAAAACAACACAAACAAACAAACAATTTACAAATTTGCACAACACACATATTTTATTCATCTCCGGGATTAACCCCGATCACAATTTTACACACAACAAAAAAAAAAAAAAAACAAAAACAAACAAAACAAAACATCACCCCACCAACACCCATTCCACCGGCGGGACTTTTCCTTATCTTTTCTCTACTCTGCGCGCCGGTCTTTTCTTCTTGCCTCCGTCCTGGCGCGCCCTTGCCGCTGCCTCCATACTTCCCACCCCCGAGCACGTTCTCCCCCCCTGCTCCCCACTGCAGCATATGGCGGACCTCCAAATCGGAACATCACGGTGGACTTCCGCTTCAGCTCCTTGTTTTCCGCCTTTAGCACACTTATCTCTGCTCGTGCATCCTTATACATGCGTTGGAGCAAGAAGCCAGCGGGAGTTTAACTGCTGCACCTCATATTGCCCTACTCTGCAGCCGGTTCGACAAAGTTTGTCACCGCAGTCATGGACTCCACACGTGCCTTCAAAGTATACTGATTCCCTCCACATCCGTTTGCACTGCCATTTTTTGCTCCACCGACTGCATCGAAAAGTTCAACGGAGCAAACCCAGTGTGTTTTGGTTGAGGTTCACGGGACACCGCACCCGTTATCTCTCTTGTGACTCGTTGAGGTTGGGAAAGAGAGTCAGCAGACCACGGGACGACGAAAGCCATCTCTCGCAACAGAGTGTTACAGACTATCTCTCTCAGCCCAACGACGCGTTTTTCAGAATTTTTCTCGCACGTTGTTTGTCTTCTGCCCGGCCTCAGGCTCCGTCTTGGTTAAATAGCCGAGGCAGCCACGCGCATCGCGGCCTCTTGACGCCAGACAAACGGCACGCAGCCAAGGCACTCACGTGCCTCGCCATCATATCTGGCACGCCTTTGATGCATCGGCACGCCTTTTGATGGCACGCCTTTTGGATAGATTGGGCACACCTTTGAGGCACGACTTTTGAGCTCGATATCTACATCCATGTATATTTGGGCAGCCTGTATACACACTCATACAGTGTCTCTACACCGGTCAGCTTTTATCAATCCCTTTTCACCCTCAAATAGGTTTCTGCTTCTACAACGGTCCGACATGACCCCGAAACGTCTTCTACATTGGTCTGACACGACCACACAGTGTCTGCTACAACGGTCCGACTTGACCCATAAAACTGTCTCGACATTGATTCCGTCAGCTGCTACATCGGTCCGACATGACCCCAAAAACTGTCTTCTACAATGGTCCGACATGACCCCGTAAACTGTCCTGCTACAATCGGTCCGACATGACCCCGTAAACTGTCTTCTACAACGGTCCGACATGACCCCGTAAACTTGTCCTGCTACAACGGTCCACCATACCCCGAAAACTGTCCTTCTACATCGGTCTGAAGCACGACCACACGAGTGTCTGCTACAACGGTCCACATGACCCGTAAACTGTCGCTACAAACGGTCCGACACACCATACGTGTCTTCTACAACGTCTGACACTAACCATTACCCAGTCCAGTCTCCTATCCCATTTTTAATTTTATTTTCAGCTTTATTTTTCTGTTTTGTTACTCTCTCCAACTCAAGTTGGCTAAGTACCTATCCTCCTTGAGTTTGAGGGGGCTGTTAATGTAAAATGTAAATTGTAAAATGTAAACTACCACCCACCTACCACCTCCACTACCACCCACTCCACCTACCACCTCCATACCACCTACACCTACTACCATCTTCTCCTCTATATATAGGAATTGTAATATACAGATATATCAATCAATAATATACATCAATTATTTCAATATAAAATAATTGATGTATATTACAATTCCTAATATATAGAGGAGAAGATGGTAGTAGGTGTAGGTGGTAGTGGAGGTGGTAGGTGGAGTGGGTGTAGTGGAGGTGGTAGGTGGTGGTAGTTTACATTTTACAATTTACATTTTACATTAACACTTAGGTCTATGATAAACCAAACCCAAATCAATCAAAACCAAGTCTTGAGTCTCATCAAATGAGGTAGGTTATATGAATCTTTCTTTTCTACTTGACTCTATCTAAAGCCATTTTATTAATCTCTTTTCACCGCACCTAGGCGTCATACAGCTACCCTTGCTCACTTTTTCAAAAACGCCCGTAGACAGATTGCAACAATTCACTTAAGAGAACACCTAACCATTTATCGATTCAACAGCTTTTTTTATCTTTATATTTATGAGCTTTAACAGCAAGCAATTTTTAAAGGTCAGCGTATGCAAATTCCCACATCTTCTCGACCAATACAAAAAAACACAGAATATAACAACTTGAGATTGTTAACTCTGTACCATCCAGTATTTCTCTTGATGTGGCTAGTGACATAGTATTTAGCTTTTTTAGTTGAGTTCAAGGATTTTAGTGACGCGTTGCCAATCAAACCGCTTGCGAGTTACA